TAGCATTCATATTGACTAGATTTTAGCTGTAAAATTCCCTCAATGTACATTCCATTAACTTTCCACCATATTATTATATGTAGTGTCAAATACTCCTGTCACTCAGTCCAGCACTTGAGCCATTAACGCTGTTCTGGCTGAATGAACCTCGTTGAGTGACTTGAGGGTTATGACTTATCCTTCACAGAAGCCTTTCAGGAGCCAAGTATCTTTAGGTTACTTGCATTCCCACTCGTCACTAGCATTTCAAGAGCTTGTAATGGTTGCCACTGCCATTTCTAGTCTCAAGGGGAGGCTATATTACTATCTCCAGAGTAATTGTAGACAGCACGCAGCATTCATTCACCGGTATCTACACTCTGACAGCCGTCCTCGGTAGTTGGGCTAGGACACAAAATAGCTGTGGTCTTTCGAATGAAAACAAAACAGTGAAGATGCGTTTCATGCTACGTCTAAGAATGACCAAATGCTACATCCACATGTAGCATTTCGTGCATTACGAAGTTCATTAACTAGATGTTGAGGCGCTCACAATCAGGCAACTTCAGACTGAAGCGCATTGAAGCACCACATGAACTAATTTAACTAGCCATAGGGTTGGACAGAAGTAAACAATAGACATAAGCACTTCTTCACCAGCTGAGTTGTGAAAAAGCTTATATTTGGCTATTTTAGGCACTTTCAGCGATATCAGACGTCGCCAGGGAACTTCGACTCCGCTGCAGCAAACTTCCGCCACCTTATTGGACCAAAGTGTATACAAATGAAAGATCAAAAAACTCCACGCAAAAGGCTTCCAATGAATTAGCAAACGGTACTGGAAAAAACGGTCATCTACGTATAAAAAATCCGCATAATCTGCAACCAAATAAAGAATACCAAATTGAATAACTACATGAACGAATAGAAAATCGTGCATATTAAATAACTAAACGAAATAAAATAATACAACTGTCTTTCATTCCAACTGAAAAAATTTTGGGTACGTGATAATAAAAAAACAAAAAAGACACAAAATAGAACCACTAATGTCTATAATTAGAATAATTAATAAAAACAGAAGAGCGAAGTGGTTGGGCAGTCTGTCGGATGACAGTGAAGAGTGACAGTAAGAAGAGGAGGAGATGGTGATGGTGGTGTTGATGCTATTGCAGCAAGAAGCGATGTTGTCAAAAGCCGGCTCCCTGATCAAGAGTCGGACGCTACCACCATCTCGGAAAACTGATGGCGCTCCCTTGGGAGTCCTCCACTCAGGGCCACCTCTCAAACGACAATCAGAGCTTGTGGTGGTGAAATTCACTTCTGTGGCCGAATACAATGCTGCGTGTCCTTCCGCGGAACAACCTTCACTGGCGCGTGCTATGTTGTCAACACCAAGCTAAACCTTCTCGGTCTGGGTTGGTTCAAATAATTAAGTTTGGCCGATATCCCGATCAGCCGAATCCGCAATGCCCTGCATTTGTCGAAAAAAACCCTGCGAAAATACCGCGGACATCATCAATCATTTCACCACGGTTTTTCAACCTGGTTTGGGACACTGCTCCACTACACAGGCCGCCCTCCGTCTTTTGCCGAACGCTAAACCAGTCTTCCGTCCGAAAAGACCGATCCCATACGCATCGTTACCGCTGGTTGACTCTGAGTTAGAACGTCTTGGAAACTAAGGCTTCCTATCCAAGATCTCATACTCAACCTGGGAGGCCTCAATCATTGTGGTAAAGAAGGCAAATGGTTCAATCTGGATGTGCGCAAACTTCTCCACTGGCCTAAATGCAGCTCTAGAACCGTACTACCATCCCTTACCAGTCCCAGAGGACCTATTCACAATTCTGAGTGGCTGAAGATACTTCGCCAAACTCGACCTTTCCGACACATGCCTAAAACTAGAGGTTGCTCCTGAGTGCCGTTTACTGCTATTTATCAATTCCCATTGCTTTTTATTCCAATACAACCGCCTACCCTTCGGAATCAAGACCGCTCCTGCTATTTTTTCAACAATTTATGAACACCATCCTGGCTGGCATTCCTGGAGTGGCAGCATACCTCGACGACCTACTAATCGTATCTAACTCGCGAGATGAGTTACGCAAGAGGATCGAAGAAGTCCTCCAACGGATTCAAGAAAACGGACTCAGACTTCGCCAAAAAAATGCGAGTTCTTCGTAATTTCGGTCGAGTATCTGGGGTTTTATCTTTGACGCCTCTGGCCGGCATCTGGATCCTGAGAATATCCGCGCCATTCAACCAATGCCGACTCTCAAAGATGTTCCCTTACTGCTCTCCTTCTTGGGATTAATCAGTTATTACTCGGCTTTTCTACCGTCGATGCAGAATGTCCGACCACCACTGAATCACTTGGTTGTAAAGGACATACCTTGGGTTTGATCCAACGAGTGCGAGCGGCCTTCTCTCAACTCAATTCAGTACTCAGTTCGGACCTGATACTGACCCATTATAATCCAAGTCTACCACTTATTGTTGCAGCTGACGCCTCCACCAAGGGCATCGGAGCCGTCATCCTTCACGTCTTTCCCGACGGTACAGAAAAGACCATAATACAAGTGTAGTGAGTCGTGTTGATTCACTTCAAATAACCCAGCCGTCGCAGCTTCCAATACACATCCACCCTTTTCACAGCGTGCCCGTCAGTCACGTGAGGCCGCCAGTTCATTAACCCCTCTGCATGTACCACCACCACCCGCTTTATCTATGTGACCTCACAGACACCAGTGAGTATTCTTACATGTCCGCTCAACTGTAGCACTAAACACGACACGACTTGGTTGAGCTCCCTAATAAATGGTCGTGTCTGCCATCTCCGGACTAATTTCCTTCCTGGGTTACTTCGTGTGGTGAAGGGCCTCAACACACACATCCAGGTCTCTGACAACGACAGAACAGCGGTACGGACAGATTGAGAAAAAAGCTCTCGCTTTGGTTTTCTCTGTCCGCGTTTCCATACACTCATTTATGGCCGACGATTCACTTTACTGACAGACCGCAAGCCGCTGCTATCAATTTTCGGATCAAAAACAGGCATTCCAACTCACTCCTGGGTTATGACTTCGAAATCCAGTACCGTCGCACGGAGGATATTGGGCAGGCAGGCGCTCTATCACGGCTCATCAGTAACCAGCCCACCACCAAGGAAGATGCCGTCATCACCGCCATCTACGTTGATGAAGGTATCACACAACAACTATCTGAAACAGTTCGTACACTGCCGGTTTCGATTCTCAACATCAAACAGGAAACGGCCTCGGGCAACACACTACGGCAGGCCATCCGTTACGTCCAAGGCAAATGGCCAAAGCGCTCCCCCACCGGAGATCTTCAGCAGTTTTTCCAGCGACGCGGTTCCCTCTGTGTTATAGACGGCTGCTTGATGTTCGGAGAATGCGTTGTGGTGCCCAAATCACTACGCTTGCGGGTTCTTCGTCAATTTTACACTGGCCATCCCGGCATCGGTCTCATGAAGTCTATCGCCCGCAGCTACGCTTACTGGCCAAATATGGATCAGCAAATTGCAGATCTAGTCAAGAGTTGTTGCCAATGCCAGCAGGCCGCCAAGAACCCTCCCAAGGTTCCTTCAGCCCCTTGGCCACAGCAACAAAAACACTGGTCACGCATCCATATCGACTTTGCGGGACTGATCAACGGAGCATCGTACCTTGTGCTCGTGGATGCCTACTCAAAATGGCTGGAGATCGTCCCAATGGCTTCCTTCACAACAACAAGGACTTAACAGGCTCTGTCCCAAATTTTCAGCCGTCATGGGATTCCGGAAACCATAGTCTCAGAAAACGGGTCACAGTTCACATCTCAACCATTCAGGAAATTCTGTCGACAACATTCAATTAACCCCATGCGTTCTCCACTTTACCACCCACAGCCTAATGGACAGGCGGATAGCATCGTCGACACACTGAAGCGAGCCCTGCTAAAATCCCATTGGGAAGGAACGACGTCCGTCGAAAGTCAACAGAAATTTTTGCTAGTGTATCGTACAACACCAAACGAGGCTCTACCAAATCGACAGTCGCCATCTGAGGCACTCATGGGTCGCAAATTGCGGACAACAAATTCCGCTATAATCCCAGTACAAGACAACCGCCCGGAGCCTCCGAATACGAAATCTACCACGCCATTTGAAATCGGAACAGCCGTGAACATTCGAGACTATCGACCGAAACACGACCCATGGAGCGAGGGGATGATTGCACGCCGACACGGCAATGTCATTTCGACATGACGATGGCTCACGACACGTGGTCAAGGCATCGCAACCAGCTCCGATAGAGAAAAGGACCCATGACACCGAATCGTCAGACCAACGCTCCGCAGGTTGAGCTGTTCGGCACTTTCCAGCTGCCGACACCGAAACCGGACAGAGATCTCTTGTGAATCGTGCTTGTTCACGCTCGCTAATCCGATAACTAGGCCTCCAACGCAGGGTCACCCTTTTCATAACATGTCGCAAGCCGAGCAGATCCTAAACTCCCAACTCATTCGAACGATTATATATCTTGGATCATCTTCACACCTAAGTTTAGGTATTAGCGCATCCAAGACTCACGCATCTAAGGTAAAAATCCACACGCACAAACCCAACACACGACACAACGACAACAACGTGGTGGAGATCTAAAGTGAACGATTGTGTTCACGTCCTCACCGGTACTTTTATCCAGTGCAGGTATCAGGCAAGCGCAAACGCGCCAGGGATAATTCAGAGAGCCAACAACGAAAACCACATATGTGTCATTCAGTTTACAAAAAGCAGGCTAAGGCCAAACATGACCTAAATAAGAGTTCACATTATGAGACGAAGAAAAGATATGAACTAGGAAAACAGCCACAGAGCAAGAGAAAAGGCCGGCATTTACTTCCAAAGGGAACAAAGCATAGAGCGACAAAAGACGACATAAAAAGGTTACAAAAGAATAATATTACGAGTTCCAAAAAAACAAGAATTCAGGTTGTAACACAACCGCCAACATTTACACCAACATTTTCCGCTCATCAGCATCTTCGTCGGCATCATCGTCAGCAGCAGCAGCAGCGGCAGCAGCAGCAGCAGCAGCAGCAGCAGCATCCTCTGTGTCAGCATCGTCGCAAACCACAGCCCCCGATTCACGCAGCCTACC